ATTGGGTCAGGGACCCACCCTGATGACCTCACGTAACCTTGATGGTTACCTCACTTCCTTAAAGGTCCTGTCTCCAAATGGGGGCTAGGTCTTCAGATTTGAATTTTGAGGGACCGCTAGTCACTATTCAGCCCCTAACCTCACGTGTACTGCCTCCATGTTTACGATGGAGCTTGTTGGGCAGGCCCATCTCTATGGCTTGGTGGGTCAGATAACACCAAGTACTGATTGACAGCTTATGGTGCACCATCTCTTAGTGCATTGTCATGAAACACACAGTCTACTGAGAACCCATGAGCAAGCCAGCAGCTGTTTCTCAAAAGGGAATGATGGTTTGTAGATGAGGCGATCCCTCAACAGTGCTCATCAATAACCATGATTGTGGTTGTCCTGTCAAGGTTTGCCACAGGACAGCATTTCTCTTGCTCTGAACCTCACTCAAAGTTACTTGTTAAACAGGAAAGCACATCCAAATTTTGCATATACTCCAGCCTGGGTGACAGAGTAAGACTCCATCTTGAAAAATAAATAAATAAACCCTCACTCTGAACAGCAGGCCACACTGAGTTCTGTTTCCTGAGCAACCACGTTGGTTCTGAGTCAGTGTTCAGCCGTCTCCTGCAGCTCTGACTACGCCCCTTTCCCCAGTGCCCAGTCTAGGGAACGTGGCTGCAGTTTCTTTAGGAAAAGCTGGAGGAACTTTTTAAAAACATGATTCTGGTGTTAGCAGGGGATCCTTCCCCAAAGACATTGAACCTTTTCTTTACTGAAAGGACTGTGCATCTGTGAACTGATTCAGGCCCTTGTGTGGACTGAGGAGCTGTGCCTTCTACATGGCGACTGAAGACTCTGGCTCCGTTTGCTTAACTTAGAGTTCATTTCAATCAAACGTGTCAAATAGACCCGTAGCAGTCTTCCCATCTATTTCAGTCTTGGCAATTTACTACCACAAAACATTCCTATGGGTCAAGCCATTCTGATGACCACCCAATTCTTCTGACAATTAAGGTAACTTCACCTGTGCTGCTTTGGCGATTAAGAGCTGTTACCTGACCTTTACCTCCACAAGGTCCAACTCTCCATTGAAATCAGCAAGCCGATTTGCAGCAACCCCTCTGCCCTGACCTCCAGAGATAGCCACTGAGGTGCTGTCCAGGGCTTCAGGCACCTGCCTCACTGGCGGGCGTGTTATTGCCTGGGAAGGGAGTGCCTCTGTGCTCTCCAGAGGGAAATGAGTCCTCTATGCCCTCCAGGGGGAAGTGAATCCAGCCGTCAGCCAGGTGCAGTGGTGGTGCATGCTCGTAATCCCAGCACTTTGGGAGGCTGAGGCAGGGGGATCACCTGAGGTTAGGAGTTCAAGACCAGCCTGGCCAACATGTTGAAAACCTGTCTCTACTAAAAATACAAAAATTTGTTGTGTGTGGTGGTACATGCCTGTAATCCAATCCCAGCTACGAGGGAGGCTGAGACAGGAGAATTGCTTGAACCCAGGAGGCGGAGGTCACAGTGAGCTAAAATCATACCACTGCACTCCAGCCTGGGCAACAGAGTGAGGCTTCATCTCAAACACACAAAATAAATAAATCCACTTCAATGTGCCTAGTCCCTAAACCTTCAGGGCCTTTCTTGTACATAAAGGAATTGCTTGCCTCTCAAAACGCTTTCCACTTAAGTTACCACTGAGGTCAGCTCTCACTGAAACAGATATCCAGTTGGAACTGCTGCCATTGCTGGAGCTTGCATGTTGAGTGCAGAATCTCTGCTTACCCACAAGTGAGCAAACCCGTGTCGACAAAATAAGCCCCAAGTAACAGCTCAGGAAGAAAGGAAAAAGCACTAATGAGAGTCAGCTGAGAAACAGGATGAGCAGGATACGTAAGTGGCCTCAAATTACTTCTTTCCAAGACGCTTATCGATATCAAATGGGGATATGGCATACTTACAGAGGGGAAGACCTGGAATCTGGCAGGCACCAATTTCATTGAGAAATTAACATTAACAACATCTGTAAGAGGGCAAATACCTATGAGCCTCAGAATAGAACTGAGAAAGACACAGTTTCATTTCTGAAGTATTTCCACCTAAATTCATACCGTGAGCAAACACTTGAAGCTGAGGGACGTTGCTACAAAGTACCTGTAACTCAGAGCTCAGAAAAAGATCAAGACGCTGACAAACAGGCGCAGGAGCGGCTCTGAACTACAGAAAACGAAAGAGATGCCACAAAAAAGGCAGCCTGCCGGCCGGGAGTTTGTTTTCCTATAAAAACATTAGTAGGATGTGAGAAAATGTTTGGTTTTTGGTTTGGGGTTTTGTTTGTTTTGGGACAGTGTCTCACTCTGTCCCCCAGGCTGAAGTGCAGTGGCACAATGGAAGCTCACTGCAGCCTCAACCTCCTGGGTTCAAGTGATCTTCCCACCTCAGCTTCCCAAGTAGCTGGGACTACAGGTGCGCACCACCACGCCCAGCTAATTTTTAAATTTTTCATAGAGACAGGGTCCCCCTATGTTGCCTGGCTGGTCTTGAACTCCTGGGCTCCAGTGATCCTCCTGCCTTGGCCTCCCAAAATGCTGGGATTCAGGCATGAGCCACTGTGGTTGGCCTAGAGGATGTGGGAAAATTTGATTAGCAAATATATCAATTTTAATTTCTTGATTTTGGTAGTTATTCTGTGCTTATGTATGAATATGACCTTGTTTTTAGGAAATAATAAAGTATTTGGGGGGAAAGGGCCTCATGCTTATAATTTACTTTCAAATGGTTCTGAAAAATTATATGCACATAAAATGATATAAACACACATATATACACATGACTAAATGAGTTATGAAGTAGATGTGGTAAAATACTTGAAGAATCTAAATAAAGGACATGTAATAACTATCTGCCCTATTTTTGCAATCCTCTGGAAGTCTGGATCAAGTCAAGTCACATTTTTTTCACGCTCTTGTCCCCCTGCATGGTCTGGCACCCTGAGAATCCATTTTCTCATCGGTTCCCCCACAGTTTTGCTGCAATTCATGATCAACTCCTGCAGCCCCTCTGCTGTGTAAGCTTCTCTGCCCAGGTTGGCCTGTCACTGGTCCCTGACCATCCTCCTGGTAGGAGGGAGTGCGGCCGCCGGCCGGCCTGTGACTACCACGGGTGAAGCTGCTGTGAGTCTTTGAGCAGAACAGGGTGTTCGGAGTCACCCAGACCCTGGTAGGGGTCACCGTTCCAGTCAGGGCCCTCATGCTCCTTGCATCTGGCTCTGTCAAATCCTGCGCTGCACAGGGGCCACCTGGCCGGCCAAAGCCAGGACATGACCTGACGTGTCTTTCCAGGCCACCATGCCCCAGTGCTGCAGATGACCAACACTGACCCTACGCTGAGGTGACCCAACATTGACCGTACACTGGGGTGACCCGATGCTGACTATACACTATAGTAACCCTACGCCAACCGTATGTGATGGTGACCCCAGTGCTAACCATACACTATAATAACCTGGCACTGACCATACGCTAGGGTAATCCGACAGTGACCGTACGCTATGGTAACGTGACGCTGACCGTGCACTAGGGTAACCTGACGCTGACCGTGCGCTAGGGTAACGTGGCGCTGACCGTGCGCTAGGGTAACCCGACGTTGACCGTGCGCTAGGGTAACCCGACGCTGACCGTGCGCCAGGGTAACGTGACGCTGACCGTGCGCCAGGGTAACGTGACGCTGACCGTGCGCCAGGGTAACCCGACGCTGACCGTGCGCCAGGGTAACCCGGCGCAGACCGTGCGCTAGGGTAACGTGGTGCTGACCTTGCGCTAGGGTAACGTGGCGCTGATCGTGCTCTAGGGTAACCCGGCGCTGACCGTGCGCTAGGGTAACGTGGCGCTGACCGTGTGCTAGGGTAACCCGGTGCTGACCGTGTGCTAGGGTAACGTGGCGCTGACCGTGCGCTAGGGTAACCCGGCGCTGACCCTGCGCTAGGGTAACCCGGCGCTGACCGTGCGC